AGCCGGCTCCTCTCCTCGGTTGTGCCGCCGTTTGTCACGCGTGTAAAGCCTTGAAGCAGCTGCTTAGTGCTTTGTAGCCAGTAATTTCTGCTCTAAGGCGCAGGGAGCTGAGGCTCGTGCTCCTGCGGGCGAGGCGAGGCAGCGCCTGTGTCCCTCCTCAGCCCTTTTTCTCCCCGCAGGATGCTGCGCTGAGGTGGAAGATGGCTGCGTGGGCTCGGCGGGGCTCCCGCTGGCCTTGCCTGCTGCAAACGGCTGCTGAATTTCCTCGGAGGCTGAGGGGCCGCAGCAGCACCGCACAGGCGTGTCGTGGGATCGCCCCTCTGGCCCTGCCGCCCTCTAGAAATGACGTTCTTCCGTGGAGATGGCAGGCATACAGGCACGTATCTGTAGGACGCTGTTCTCCGCCCAACAGTGCCAAGGATGGATCCTTTTCTTCTCTCGAAAGTCACGTGCCTTCACCAGTAAAACAGGAACAAGTGAAAGCTGAAACATTACCCGATCCAAATGCAAAAATACTGCATGAAGGTAAGAGGCCTTAGGGATACCATTTCTACTGAATCTCCAGATCATGCTTTATGTATTACCCTCGGTTCTCCTTTTTTGGCCTGTTTATCTAAAATATTTATCTGAAGTACCTGACGTTCGCTTGGTTTTAGCTCCATAGTTAACACAGAATTCCTGTGGTCACTCTAGTGTTTAAAGAATACCTTTAAGCTGAGATAAAGATATGTTTTGGGTAGAAATGTCAGCCTGGAGCTGCTGTTTGAAGAGCTTTTCATAACTCTACCTGCAGCAGCTGAGCATATGCCTTTACCTCACAGTTGTACTGGTACAAAATGAAGGGTTTTGTTTGGTCGGTTTGGGGGGCTTCTCTTTGAGCAGGAGTGGGGGAGGCCACCCCTGAAGCAGCTCCCACAAAGCAGCTGTGTGAATGATCAGGGATGAACAACAGGAGGCAGCAGAGTGTGAAGCGTGCTTAAGCACTGCCCTGATGAGAAATGCTCGTCAGACTCTCTCCTGAGGGAAGGACGATAGATTCAAGGTCGCTTTGGTGTTGTTGCCCTGAGGAAATTGCCTCACTTTTCTCTACTTTTATATCTTGAGTGAGGATAACGAAAATACCACCCTCTGAAAATAGTTCTAGTATGCTGAGGAAACTTGCTCTGCATTACTAAGCAGTCTTGTATGTTCAGATTCTGCTTTGAGCCCAGCCAACTTGGATCCTACAGAGCTTATTTTTGGGGTGGCTCAGAGCTGCAACTGAGATCTGTGTGTTTGTGCAGCTGGTTCTGGAAACAGTGCTGCACCAGAACTGACAGGTCAGCCAGCTCGTATGTGTCTGCACCTGCGGTGCAGTTTATTTACGTGCCAGAATTTTATCTGCCAGCAGACTTAGTGTTGTATATGTGTGCGTGGAGCATTTCGCCTAGTTGGCAGTGTATATAGTGGAATAAACGTAATTGCTAACTTTTGGGGGGGTGAGTAACTTGAGGTGTGTTTCCTGATAGGACGTTTAAAGGACTTAAGAGAGGCAAAGAAGGGTATCTGTGCTTCGGGAATGGACCTTGGCGTATACTGGTTCAGTCCTCAACAAGTTGAAAGGAAATGCTTGATATCCATATAGATCCCTAGAGAGTTCTTATTACTATTTAAGGTGTACGTGTTGCTAGAGACGTTTTACTGTGCTTTTGTTTCTGAGGCTTTGCGAAAAAGAAGTGGCAAGACCTTCAGCAGCTATTGGGCTAGTCTATGCAACTCTTTCTAGAACAATAGGATCTTCCTACTTGTTTTGTAACCTGTCTTGGTAGTTCTGGTGTGACTTTGTTTTTTTGATATGGCAGAGTGTTGCCCTAGTCTCTAGGAAGTCATTGTGCAGGACACAGAAAATCCTCATCCTGAAGAGTTCATGATTAGGGCTGTTGATCAGTAATCAGTTTGGTAATTGAAGTGGATGCTAGCAGTCAGCCTGCAAAACAGTAATCTTGATCTAGCTGCTGTGAGCTCATGTCAATGGAAAAACAGATCAGATTAGAGAAATATTTTTTAAAAAGGCGCTGAGCTCTGTGACTTGGAACGCTTAAGGGGAAACAAGCATAACGATGTTCTCTTGGAAACCTTAATGAGTAGGAAATGGAGCTTGACTTCTTTAGCTGTTAGAGGTGGTGGCAGCCAGCAGCCATTCTGTAATGGGTAAGACATGATAACTTGGTTGGAGTTGGCTGTGAAATACCTTGAAAGTTAAAACAACTGCAGTTCAGGCATCAGATTCAGAAGAGGCACAAAGTAGCAGGCTTGTCAGATTACGAGAAATAATCTTTGCAGTAGTGTTTGATCTGGATATGATCAGGCAAGAATGCATTTGTGAAGACATGAAAGAAAATTATTTTTCAAGAAGTTGATGTGATCTCTTGTCTGCAGTGATCAAGGCAGCAGACTGAAGGCAGGCTTGCTGGGTACTAGACTCAGATCTGGCCTCATGAACAAGAGTTGATGGGCAGTGACAAGGAGATGGTACAGGGACAAAAACCAGGAGTAAAGTCTGTTTTCATGTATTTTCAAATAATAGATTGGCTGTTCAACTCATGCACTGTGTTCTTGCATTTTTAAATGGATTTTAAGAGATCTGTATAGCGTTTGGTGGGAGCAGCTTTGTCTTTCACAAAATACATTTGGGTTTTCTGTATTTGTTTGATAGACTGGGATGACATCCCACCTTCATCTGCTTTGGAGGAGATTTCTGAGGAAGAAGCCATACACATCATTGCAGAACCACTTCTTCCCCATCAATCCTCCACGCTCCGAGATTATGTTGATCACTCAGAAACCCTGGCGAAACTTGTCCACCTAGGTATGTGTGATTTTGTTTATGTGGTTTGCCTATATCTGGAACAACGAGAGTGGGTCTCTACATGTGGCACGTGCTACTGTATTTGATTCCTCACATGCAGGATTCACTGCAGATGTCTTCCTTCAAAAAATAAACTTAGCAAAAGGGTCTAAAATGACCACTTGTTTTATCTGGAATCTTTCCACGATATACAAGGTGGTGTGACCTTGCTATGTTGAGCAATTGAAGCATGCTAAATTCATGCGAAAAAGGACTAGTACTACAAATTTCAACATGCCTTCCTGAAACATTTATAGGAAGTAGGGTCTGTGTTTAATTAAAACAATATCTAATTTTTTTTGTTGTAGGAGTTGACTTATCCCAAGTAGAGAAACGTCAAAAGGCAGGTCAACTCTTACTGACCTTGGACTTTGAAAAAGATATAAAAAAAATACTTCTGTTTCTTAAGGATGTGGGTGTAGAAGACAATCAGCTGGGACCATTCCTGACCAAAAATCCATACATCCTTGCTGAAGATCTGGAAGCTTTAGAAACCAGGTAAGCCCCTTGGCTTGAAGATCTAGTTTCCCAGTTGGCTAAACCTTATCTGAACCTGTGTTGCTGCTGCTTCGTTTCTCACTTGATCCCTGGCTCCATGTTCCTGTGCCTTCCCATCAGTCAGCAGTAACATGTGGTGGTATCATAATGATCCACATGAAAACTGTCTGGTTTTGCTGCTACTGTCTACTACACGTCCAAATTTTACTGCTCATCCCTGTCTGTCTGCCACAAAGGAAGTAGCTTGCTTTTAGCATCCTAGGCCGCTTGCTTTACCTGTGTCAGCTTAGATTCCAAAATCTTGGTCCCTGAGGCTTTACCTAAATTTGTAGAACGATATTAACCTCTTCAGTCATGCTTTGAAACCACTCTTCTGGATGATATGTCTACCCATACCTTGTGAATTCTGCAGTAAAAGAAGCAGACCAGATCTCTGTTTACTTCTGATAGCAGCAGAAGGTTTTGGTGACTTTTTTTTTCCTGTTGTCCAGCTCAAACTGAGCACAAGGCTACAATGAACTAATTTTTGTATGTGTTCACACTTGTACGGCTCTAGGCTATTGCTCAGTGTCACCCAGCTTGTCTGTGCATAACGGTAAATACCAGTCTCTTTAGAAGATCTCATATCTTAGACCAAAGCTTATAGAGTTAGCTGTCCTGTGGAGTTTGGTTTGGGTTTTTTAAGCTTATTCATGTGTGTACCAAAACCACCAAAGGTGGAATTATTTTTCTATTTCTTTTTTTAAGAAAAGTCATTGTGTTTATGGGCCTTTCTTCTGAGACAGTAAGGGAAACAAGCTGGTTTCTCCATTTACTGTCAAAACTTTTGTTTTCTGTATCACCCTCTCCTATTCCTCTCTGCTCTTTTTAATGTCTTAAATCTAGGTTCTGTGTACTGCAGACTGTACTTCATGCGGTCTAGCTTATTAGAGAACACTAACTTCAGAAAATGCTGTATTTGAATATAAAGGCTACTTGACTGAAACCAAGCACTGAAGAAGTAAGATACTATATACACATATTTGTCTTTCTCCAGCAGTATGACTTGGAAAGTGATGGGATTTATGTCAGAATTTCAGTAATTCAGTTTTCAGTAATTAGAGTGTTGTCTGAATCGAACTCTGTAACTGTATTTCTTGCTCTCTGCTAACAAGGAGGCCACTTTAATGGCAGGTGTTACTTCGTTTAACAGTCTTTGTCTGGTCAGCTCTAGAGATACAATGGGATAATACTGCAATGTAAAGTAGCTTTAAAAACCTGTAGCTGAGTTAAAGGGAAAAGGTGGTCAAAACAAGAATATTGAGGAGCCGTGGCAGATCTACCTGGCCTGGTCTAAGATGTTGCTGATAGCAGCTGTTCATTCTCCCTGTGTGGGAAGTCAACCATCACTGTGCTGTTTTGTCACATGTGTGTGCATCTTGGCTGCATGAGTGCAGATTTCGACTGTTCCTTCAGTGGGCTTAAGCTGGGATGCTGGACTTCATCCTGCAGTGACTGAGATACCTGTGCTGATGCTGGTCAAGCTGAGGTCTTATGGTTGTAATGGTTAATATCTATTCACAGAAGCCTGTCCTTAGTGTTTTTCCATTGTTAACTTCGGAGGACTAGTTCTAGAGCTTTAAAGATGAGGCTTGTATTTGTGGCTGAAAGCCTTTCACTTCTAAAGAAAAATCTTCCTGAAGTTAAATAACTGGAATTAAAATATTCAAGATCTTTGAAATAATATACAGTAATAATATAAATAATCTATTTCTTTTAAAAAAGTTCTTAATTCTTCATTTATCTGAAATAACTGAGTGTAGGTTTTGAGCCAGTATTTTCGTGGATCCACGGTCACTTTTTGCAAAGGTGCTTTTGCACCTAGGGGTGGTGTGGTGGCTTGTAACTGTGTTCCACTCTTCCTCCTTGTTGGTTTATGGATACAAACAGCTTCTCTGTATTCCTTTGCTTTAGTACTTCCTTCCAGATTTTTGCAGGTGGATTCCCATTAAGATAGGAGGGAGTTAAGGTACCAGTACCAGACTATGGGGGTTGTACTTTTTTTTTTTTTTTTTTTTTTTTTAAAACTTACCTATGTCTTGCAATCAAAGAGATCCTAGCTTTCTTTACTCAGCTGTATTTGTTTGGTGTGTACCTATAAGAAGTTTGATTCTGAAATGGAATTACTTTTTCTTCTGATTCATACTTCCATTAGATGTGCTGATTATAGAAAAAATTGCAGGAAAATGGACTTTTACCCTTAAAATTATTCCAGACAGGCTTGCATTAATTCAGCAGTTCTTTTACAGAACAGCTTGTGTGTGTGTGCGCTTTGTAATGAACTCAAAACGTCTTGGTCTTTAAAAATTCCAGAAAAGAAAGTCTTTCTGCTTGGCTCTTGCACCCAGTAGCTGTCCAAGACAGAAATCTGAAAATACAGCTTTTTGGAAACAGGCGCATTAGTAGACTCATGTCTAACAAGACCTGACTTTTCTTTTTTGTCCTCTGTTCTTCCATCCTCTTGCTCAGTAAGGGGCCTTTCGGAAACATTATCCCAAAAGAACCTGTGTCATTTTTCAGCAGTAATTTTGAGTCTAGATGTCAGAGTTGCTTATACTTTTCTGAAGAGAGTAATTTTTGCGATGATGAACATTCTAACTCTCCTGTGAATTCAGGAGACTGTCCTGTGGCACTGCCTGATTAGTAAAGTAGGGACTGAACAGGGGAATCCAATTTCTTCTTCATTTTCTGCAGCTTGATTTTTCAGTGAGTTTATCTCTGGCACTGGTAAATGCTTTCCTGCAAGCATTAAAGTAAGTGTGCTGCGGAGGGTGTATGGCAGGCTGTGAAGTGAATGTGTCTCAGATAGCTGGCTTTTGAAAGCTGAGTATCACCTTTGCATAAACACTTCGGTGCAGATGGACATGGTATTGGTTACATCACTCTGGAATGTTTTATTGCTATGGATTCCACGTTGCTGGGAAACAAAACAGAAATTTCAATAGATTTGGCATTTGACTTCAGATAAACACTGTAAAAGTCAAAACATTCCATAATTCATAACAATTCTGACAGTTGCAAATCAGTGTCTGTACTGCAGCTGCACCAGATGCTTTGTTTTATGGTATTGTTAATGATGACTTAAAACTGCTAACATGCTACATAGAACTGCTGACCCCTGCAGTAGAACGCAGGCTAACCTTGGTGCCAACACTCGCAAAATTATCTCAGACTTTGGTCAGGTTGGGTGATTGTGCTTTTTTAATATAGCACTTTCTCGAGTCGGGATACTACAATCTTGCCATCCCTCTTTTAAGCTTCTTGCCTTTCTGGGGATGCGACAAAATGCTTCAGGTGTGAATTTTAATGACTTGTTAACAGAAAACAAGTGGAGGGGGAGTCAGGACAACCAAAAGGTTTTATTTTTAATCTGCTCACTTAGCTGTGTTTCTAGGATGCTTGGCAGTTGTGCCCTTGAAAAATTGAATGGAAGAAGTATCATGTAGCCAAGCTGCAGCTTTCAGAACATAATAGGATAATTTTTGAAGGGGCAATTGTTTATTGTTGTGTTCTGCATTTCTCCCCCTTCTACCTTCTCCTCCTCTCTGAGGCTCTTGCAGTCAGTTCCATCAGCATTGTCTGGAGCCTAGGCTGCTACCTTCTGTGTTGGGGTGCCTGCTCAGTTAGGGATTGGTCCTCTAAAGCTTGTTCTTAGATCTTTTGTCTAGAGGTTTTTGGCTTGTGATGACTTCATTTTTTAGGGTTTGTGGAAAGAGAGGGAGGTTGTGGTGACTGGAAGGTATTTTTATTTTTTTTTCTCTTCGCAAGACATGATTTAACACACAGCCCATCTTTTGCTGAATATCTGCTTCTGCAGAATATTCTGCAATCTATTTAGTATCTTAATTACTGCCAGATAAATTCATTTCTTCTATGCTCTAGGTTCATCTGACGGCAAATACTTCTGTATATGCTTACCTATAACCAAAGGGAACCTCTTCAAATTGTAGTTCAGGTTTTTTGTAAATGATGGCACGTGTCTGTCTTTATTTTGTGTGCTGTATTTCCCCCCCGTTCCTTTTTCTGGGAGCTATGGTAATAATCTACTGCAAGTAGTACTTGAAATAGGATTTCACTTTCACCGAATTCAGCAAAGTTTGGAAAAAGTTTTGAGTTGGAAAGAAAGCAAGCTCTGTTAAACATAAAAATTGTAGTCAGCTCCTTCTCCTTTCTGACAACCAGATGTTTTGTAACTAAATCCTTGGACCAGTGACTGAAAGTAGGGACCTATTGTAACAAAAGTAACTTCAGCTGATTTAGAAATGTCTTTTTGGACAATGTCTCTGCAGATAGCATTGTTGTATGGTACTTCTATTCCAGTGCTATTGGCAAAACAGGGACATATGAGGTATAGTACTCTGTTCTTTCAGCAGTAGAAATGGAATTCATTAAAATAGCAAAAGGCTGTATATATCTTCTTGTCCATACCCTATGATGATCTATTAATGTGTTTGCAATCTAGGAGACAGGCTGGTAGTTAAACGTAGGTTAGCATAGTTATCTGCTTAAGTACAGCTGGAAGGAATTAAAATCTGTCTTCAGTATTGACATTCTGCTCTGAGGTTTATTTTACTTCTAATTAATTGGAAGGGATGGTATTTTGCTTTTATGATAACTTCAGATTTCCCCCTAATTATCTTTGGCAGGGTTGCATGTTAATGCTAGAACATCTGTCCGTTTATAAGATATCACTGAGGAATTTAAGCAAGTACTGAATAAATGGAGGCAATAAAATTTTCATCACTGGATTTTATTTTGTTTTTGTTCTCTTTCTAGAGTGGCTTACCTAAAATCAAAAAAATTTGGTGAGGCAGAAATTGCTCAGATGGTCTCAAGAGCTCCATATTTGCTGTTGTTTTCAGTGGAAAGACTGGATAACAGACTGGGTTTCTTCAAAAAGGAACTTGGCCTCAGTGTAAAAAAGGTAAAGACTATACACTGAAGTCTTTAGGTACTTTGTCAGTGACAACTGTGAGGCCTTGAAAGATGAATGCTTAAAGTGTTCGGAGGTCATCCACAAACACTAGTGACATCACTGATGGCAACACAGAGGCTCACAGGAGGACAACATGATTTTGAGTGTCCGTAGAAGTGATACGGACATCTAGCATTCAGAGGTCCTCAGGTACAGTTCTTGAAGATGATCTGCTACAGGTCACTGTTGAGCAAGCATGTGTCCAGTTTTATTAACTGAGGTGGGTCGGAGGACTGAATCCATTGCTGAAACAGCAAGCAGCTTTTTTAACTTCTAGAAAATTAAACGGCTCTCTTAATCTCTTCAAGATACTGTAACATACTTAATTCATTGGTGAAAAAGTCTAATCTGCAACTATCATATCAAACTCAATGCCAAACCACATGCTCAGCTCACCAAGAGGAACCCCTGGGTTGGCTCCTGAGTGCTTACTGCATTACGACCTTAGCGGGTGTTTAGAGCCATGCTTTGGGATCTTCAGGGGAGGCAGTAGCTAGACTTCCCTGCAATAAGCGGGCAGTGTTAGCTGTTTCCTGCAGTAGCTGAGGATTGCAGTAAACGTCAAGTTCCAAGTGGAATCTTGATGTTCTTCTATTGGCTTCTATTAGCAGAACAGTTGTAGCTGTTGCAGTGCCTGTTGCTGGCCTTTCCACGCTTGAGGTAAGAGATCTCCCTGGAAAAGGGTTTAGTCACTGCCTTGCACTCAGGACGAATTACAAGTAATCACAGGGCCTAGGGGATGTGGAGTAATTTCTTGTATTGCCATAATACTATGGTCTAACCAGATCCTGAGGGAAACAAATTCCACTGCAGTTGAAAAATCCTTTTATAGTCTCTATCAGGTAGTGTTTCGATTCCTGTTTTGAAAAAGGTGGGAAGAAACAACTTGAGCACTGAGAGAGATTGGGCACTTAAGCATGCTTTCTGCTTCTGGGGTATGCTTTTACTCCCTCTTCCTGTCGTTTTACAGCAGCTATGTTGTTTTTTGTTTTCCAAACAAACATATTGGAGTAACTTTTTGTATCTTAATATACTGCTGCTTCATGCAAACTCATCTTTGGGGGAGAGATAAAAAGAAATGCAAGTGAAAGTGCTTCAGTCTTCCAACTGGGAGAAAAAAAAGTTTATGAGATCTCGATCTTTCTTTCACAGGTGGATTCACAAACAAGGTTTCAGTAATAATCTTTTCCTTTGTGTGTTTTCCCTAATTGTAGACAAAGGATCTGGTAATTCGTCTTCCAAGGCTACTGACTGGCAAATTAGAGCCTGTAAAAGAAACTCTTCAGGTGAGCTTGTTAGTAGATATTAAAGTGTATTGTGTATCCACTCTTAAAAAGTTGTCAGAAGATAAAATTCCTGGAGGAGAATCCTGCACAGAAAGAATTTAATGAAATTATTTTAGTGGAGATGTAAAATAGCTGAGGATTTTGTTAAACAATTTCTTTTCTGCTATAGCTTGCAAGCTTACAGCATACGTGGAGCAGTACCTTATTCTGTCTTCTTCTCTGATGTAAGTTAGAACTTCATCCAGGTCCCTTCCTGCCACAAGTTGCCATCTGATGACACAAATTGTTACCCATTTCTTTACAACAAATGAAAAATAGGGCCTGCTCCTTCTTTTTTTTTTTTCCTTTTTCTCCCCTTAATTATTATGTGTTTTTGCTAACTTGGATTGTCCATGAGGATTTAGGAGCAAGAAATGTGCAGCTGATTATTTTCCTCTTGGCAGGTAGCTAGTCTGCCAAAATGTGCATTTGACACCTATTGTCTGATAGCAGATGGTCATTATTAACAACTGTTGGGTAAATAACTTCAAACCCACAGGGACTCCTTTCCCTTTTGAAAATGTAACTATGTATTGGTTTAATTATTGTGCTGTAAAGCCATCTAGGCCAAACAGCATGATGTAGTGTAACAATTTGAGAAATCCCATTATCCTATAACACATAACTATGAATTAAAATATATACTTTTCAGACAGGCTCACTGCTCTGAAACCATTAAACACTGTGAATCTTGCAATCTGAAATGTGTGTGGTAAGGGAGGAGACTGGAAAGTAACAGACTGTTCCAATTAATAGTGCTTTCTTTTTAATGGACATTGTTTCCACAGGCTAGGGATTCAGTATATTGTAATGAATGTGTTTTTAAGATCCTCAGTTCTATGCGACTCTCTTGTCTATCTACCAAAAAGTCTATAGTGTAGCATCATTATTTTTAACATGCTCGAATGAGAGGAAGGATTTTTAGGTCCCCACTATTAGAACCTACTGATATTTATAGAAGCTCCAGCCTCTCAGGAGGCTGGATGTCTCAAATTCAGAATCTGGGTTCAGACCTGTATGTCCTAAGCTGGTGGTGGGCAGGCAGTACTCAGAAAGTGAAACCAGGTAGCAGCAGTTCAGAAGTGATCTGGTGGTATCCCTCGTTCTGAGTGGGTTGTTACTTGGAAACAACTGCTGCAGCTGATACTGGTTGTCAAAAGATAGCAATCATGGACTAAATGAGCTGAAGGATGGATTATTCCATCTTCTGAAGATTTCATCGAGCACAATTAGAGATTTACTGGTAGGGTAAAACTGGAAAGCTTGCATTACCGCTGCCTGTTATGGGAATCATAGAGTACGTTGAATATTGCTGGGGCTTACACAGTCAGGACATTAGCATATATGGTCTAGAGAGTTACTGAATACTAAATCTGTTTGCTGTCAAACTGAGTGCAATCAAAGCAACTTAGACTTGAGCTCACCGTTCACATCAAGAGAAAGCTGTTCCATTTCACGGAGTAGAAAAGAAAAGCTCAAGATTCTTGCCGCAATTGCCTCTACAGTAGGACCAGCTATACATCTCCAAAGACTTAACATCAGGTCTTACCCTTCATTGCATGTCATAATGCATCGAGTTACTCCTGCCAACTCAGATCCGTGGAAGACAACACTAAAGTGCAAACACACTTCTTCATACTTGAATGCTGTCTTTGCTGAATAGTATTTCTTAAGACACGCAAATATTTATAAAGCAGATAAGGAAGAACCAGGAGTTGAAAAACCTGATTATAGTCACCTCTAGCAACAATTCCTTGTAAGGATCTGGAAGTCCTAAGGTAGCTTGCAAACCCAGATCCTAAGCCCTTCCCTTTTTATTTGCCAGGCAGTTTTGGAAAAGAGCTACAGTCTTGGCACATCAAACTGGAAAAACAGAAAGCACCAACTTTTTGCCAGCTGAAGAAGTACCTGAGTTGGATTTGAAAGTCTGGTTATGTTGACTGACAAGCACACCTACTTCATGACTGAAAACAAGCTGCTTGTAAATGTCACTGGAGGATAGAATAAATGTCTGAGTTACCAGACACCCTTGTATGCTGAATTCCTTTCTCAACAACTCAATGAACTGCTTGCCATTCTGCACTTTGGGAGGAGTGCTCATGATTTTATTGAAGAAATGTGTTTTGTTTTCCTTTTGGGAAACCATAATTGAAGTCAAGACAGTCTCTGAAAAAGATATCTTACTTTAGACATTAACCAACTGTGAAATAAATTGAATATACTGTATATTCTACACATCTCTTTCAGGTTCAACAGACTTCAGTTGAAGACTATAGGACTGAAATTATACTCCCTAATATACAGATATAACTTGGATACATTAGCAAAAGAAAGAACACATTAACGAAAGTAGTCACTAGCTATTTGATTGCTGTGTTTTACAGAGTTCAGCAGCTCCACAACTAGAAAGTCAGTCTCTTTTGACAGCTTAGTATTGAAACTCATAAAAGACTCTTAGGGGAGAATTTTTATGCTTGTAACTGCCATGCATACTGCGACATAGCTTTTTTGTTCATCTCTCAGACAAGCTGAAAAATACGTAGCATTCACAGAAGTAATCTTTACTTCAGGGATGCTCTATAAACAAATTACACTTCAATCCAGAATGATAAATAATCTGCACTGACTTGAGAAGAACTGGAGTGGCAGATATTATTGTGGGTTGCATTCTTGTTGCTGCTGACAAAAGGTAGAAGAATTTTGCATTAGTTTATTTCAGTGGCGCGTTAAAATAAACTAAGTTTGCTGTAGCTGACTTTTGAAGGTAAAACTGTGCTCTTCTTCAGGTTTGTCAGATTGAACTTGGTTTTCAACGTGATGAAATTCAACGGATTGTGTTTAAAACCCCCAAGATACTAACTGCAAGTAAAAAGAGACTCAGACAGACATTTGACTACTTACACAACGTAATGGGCATTCCCCACCACATGCTTACTCGCTTTCCTCAGGTGAGCTGTTAATCTGGGAATAAACTGTAGGTGCTCTTTGCACAGCTGCTTCACTACTTTGGTGTTGAAGGTGGACACTCACTGTATGCAGGACATGAGTGAATTCATCAGCTTGTCTGTGGCTTTTACTCTAATTGGGATAACTTTTACTAGCAATTCAGCAGCCCCTGAGGATTACAGTGTGAAAGTGCCCTTCTGCCCCTGGCATGTGTGACATCCCCACTCCTGCCACCCCCAGTCTTGTGAAATTTTAAGTTTTCAGCAGAAGTAGTCATGCTCATCTCTTCTGGATTCATGCAAGAGAGATGCCTGCTTAGAGATTCCTTGTCCTGAAATCTTGCCTAGCTAAGAGACACAAGAGAAGACAGATCATGCAGAAGATCTCTTCAACAGATAATATATATTTAAAAACACTTCTTTCAGATTTGTCTAGCTAAAAAATTAAAATTTATAGATTCTAGGATCTAGGAATTCTAGTTAAAGGTGAGAGAAGTTCTGTCCATTAGGCAATCAGATTCTCATTGATCTTCCTTGCTGCAGCAGTAGCTACAAAACAACCGGAGTGAAAATAAGATTAGCTTCTTGATGACTATTTTGGTTTTTTCTATCTCCTCGTTACTGTTTCTCCCTCACAAATCAAAAGTTGAAAGCGTTAGTCACTTCATCCAATGCTGACATGCAGTCACACTAGCTTCTTACAAGGAAAAAACGAAAGCACAAATTACGACTTCTGAATGTCAATAAATTTCTTCCTAAAGCAAGTCAAGCAGGGAATCTAACTGTCTAATCTAACTGGCTAAAAAGCCAAAATTATATGGGGAAATAAAACTACTCCCCAGGATTTTGATCTTGCTATTTAATACATCTTTACTTAACAAAGATGCTCGCTGTACCTCCAGTCTGTTGTCACTTTTGCCCTCCTTGACCTGTAAGTGACCACAAGTCTTGCTCGCTTCCTTTTAGTTGTCTTATTGTTGGCTTTGTGGTGGTTCACCTCATTATTTCTCTTCCCTTTGGAAAGCTAAGTGGAGAGTTTCCTCTACTCCTTGTCCTTGGTGCAGTCACCCTTTCATCCCTGTTGTTCCCTTCTGTCCTCAAAAACTGAGTTCCAGGGTATGGCTAGTGCAACTTGGTCTGTTTCTGGTCTGGCCATGAGCTTGTGCATTCACAGATGCATACTTGTCTCCATCTTTCTTGCTTCTATCCTGAATGACAGTAATGCTGAAAATAAGAGGCATACAAGATTTTTTTGTCAAATCCTCTCTGATGTTACAGTGTGGTTGTAACCATCCTTCCTGTCAGCTAGCTCCATAAATGGTGGTTAAGGTTTGTTTTTTTTTTTTTCCCCTTGTCTTCTGACTCCCTCTTAAAATTCAAGGAGTGTAGTCTCTCCTTTTTAGTAAAACCTCTGCTCCCTTTCATTGCTTTAGCGTTCATACTTCGCCATTATCTTCTCTAAAGCAGGTTCTCTCTCTTCAGTTGTACTGCTCAGAAATGCAGTTAGATCTTTGCTTTTAAGACTTAACTGTGCATCTCTTGTCTTCCCCACTTCTCTCTCTTTAGGTGTCTTCCACTGATTTCTTTCATGTTTCCCTTACCATTGTTTTTGCCTTTGACTGCCTAGAATTCTTTTTGTGACAAGTATCTTCAAAAGTAGGCGTTGCTATGCAGCAGAAGACAAGTGCTTGTTACGAACCGTTGCACTGTGCCTTTTGGCTGTGTTATGACAGGACACGCAGCTGCTCGCCTTTTCAGTTGCCACTGTGCAATTCACTTGTTTTTATTATGCCATGTGGTCACCTGCTCGTTTCTTCCTTGTAACATTGTTCATCTGAATCTAACTGTACAAATAAACGCTGCTGATAATATAGGGAAAATGCTTAGGTGTTCTTGCTCCCTGTTTCTGAATGTCTCCTCTCCGCTTTCTTGGCTGTGATTACACAAAAGTAATGTATCGTTACCATATGTAAACAAAAAACCTAACATGCTTAAGTGTATCACTCCCTGATTTCCCTTGTGTGTGGACCTCAGCATATTGTACTGAATCATTTATTTAGAATTTAGATAATTTATATATAAATGTAACCTACCTGGTGTTTGACATAAATGAGAAGAAAAGATGCAAATTGTTTGTTTTCCTCCTAGATCTTCAGTTTGTCTAAAAATGCTCTTATTTTAGATTCATCAGAGTCTGAAATCTAGAAAAAGTAAAAGATTCTTCCCTTTCTTTCTTAGGTTTTCAACTCAAAGCTATTACGAATCAGAGAGAGACATATGTTTCTTACATTCTTGGGAAGGGCCCAGTATGACCCAGCACAACCCAGCTACATCTCTCTGGACCAGCTCGTATCCTTGCCCGATGAGGTGTTTTGTACAGAGATTGCCAAAGCTTCTATACAGGACTTTGAAAAATTCTTAAAAACACTTTAATTAGTAACACATGTAAAAAGGAATAGAATAAAGTTATGAAATAAACATATTTTATAAAATTACCCTCCTTTATGGTCTCTTAACTTCTTAATTACTGCTTTAAGTTGTTGCTTATGAAACGTTTGTAGGATGTAAAGGCTCACAGTGATATTCTTTATGGTGTCTTAAAAACTTGGTTCAGAAGGATTAAGTAAATATATGTTGTTTTCTACTGATGCAATCCTTGTAATTAACTGAGAATGAATGATGCAGCACACTAACAGAAAAGTAAATTAAAGTGGATTCTTCTGGTTTTTTTTTTTTTTTTCAGTAATTTTAGAGTTTTGGGAGATGAAAAAACTAGCTAGTGACTTACTCCCTGTCTTGCCCTTTGTCTTCTCCCCTCACCCTCCCTCCCAAAAATCATAATAACAAGCTAATGCAGGAGTGAGGAAGTGACGTGATTACCCGCTTTCACCTTGACAGCTAATAATGGTATTCTTTTCCTTGTAAGGTAGAAAGAAGCACACAGTTACACAGGTGCAGCCCTTCACACACACGGGTATTTTTCAACCAGTTACAAAGGTGTTTCTTTGTGAAGCTGGCAGCTGAAGCTAGTATCCTAAAAGCTGCGTGGTGAAACTCAGTTTGATATATGACTGAAAACCAGCAAACTGAATCTAGGCAAATTACAAAAAAGAAAATAAGCTCTTCCTAGATTTCAGGGGCATGTGTAGTTTTATTTTAAGTCACTTTTCTCTTCCACTTGCTGAGGAGGGGAAGCAGTTTTTCCCCACCCCAAAGAGCTTTGTATGGCTTGAGTATACAAGTAACCATACAAAAAGAGGCTGTAATACATACTTAGCTGACAGTTATCTTGCTCAGTTGTAACATCTGAAGTAAATGCTAACATTAGGAATCACAGGAGTATTAAAAGTACTTAATCCAATCAATAAACAAATCACATTAATACATTAATACGGAGTTATCAAATGCTTCACAGTGTATTTGGTCAAAGTGAAGAAACTGACTAAAGCCAAATGCAAACTGTCTGATAGTTTATTGTTTAGAAGTTTCCATTCTTTCTGTTGAAATAGTTCAGGAAACTGAAATCCAGATGTTTTCATTTGGATTTAAGCTTATTTAATGAAAAAGTCTTAATGTTTCAAAAGCTCAGTGTTGGAGCTTAAAATACCAATTTGAGTCCCAGAAGCGTAAGAGCCTGAAGAAGATTTTGTGTGCAGACAGAAGAATGAAATTCAAAAGGTTAAATTCCCCTAATAGGCGGGAAATACACTAAGGTTAAAGAGACATTAAAAGAATGAGAATAGTAGTGATCTCTGGATCACAACTTGAGTCTTTTATCCAAAATAAAAATCAGAATTTGAATTACAACACCCAAGAAAAGGAATGTTGTCAGAAGAAGCAGGGTGAAAAATGATTTACTGGGGCATCTTCACTTCAAACAGTAAGATGTAAAAAAAACAGTAAAAAGCCACATTCATTGTCTGCAATATATATCTGAGATGTTCTCTTTTTGTCTTTTGTTCTCATGTTTCCCACTCCGCTGGCCTGGGAAGATCCCTTGAAACCCTCTATTGAGTAGACTGTTCTTGCTGGAGACGCTAACATTTCATCTGAAATGGTGGCTGAAATGTGATGGCTAAACACTTTTCCCCCGTTCCTTCCTTTCAAATAAAAATATCTCAGTCTAATTCAATATGCTTAGCTAGATTTTGACTCTTAAATGCTAATAACAAACTAATCTTCAAACAGTCTCACAAAAATTAATGCTTCTAGTAAAAATTAATAGAAAGTATGTGGGTTCATGGTACCAAAGTAAAGAATTTGTTTTTGCAGATGTACTCTACTGTCCTTATCGTGATCTATATTACCATGTGACAAACCATTGTAAATATTACAGAATACACATGATATTTTGAATGTCTTAAACTTGGAGCTCTTAATTCCTTTAATATTTTTAAATGTAAAAATTATTGCTGCCAGAGCTAAACCAGTTTCTTTGAAATGTTAAACGCGTGAGCTTATGCCAAAATAGCTTCCCAGAAATACCATGAAGGAAGGAAGCAAAAGATTTTATGGGAGTGCTAAAAAGAAATGGGGGAGAGAGAGGATAGGACTTTTTGAGGATCGTGCCAAATACTTTTTGGCTTTAAGAGGAGATAAAAAATTTTTAGAAGAAATGTTTGGCCTAGAATTACCAAACTTACTGTAGCCTGCTGTTTTTGATAAGGGCTAGCAGCCGTTGATTGAGCATGTTGATTAATTGAGGCTTGCTGGGTATGATGCGGCAAAGGCACAGTCTGAGCTGTGCTCTTTGCCTGCGTATCACATTCAGCCACATGCTTTTTTGACTGAAGTTAGAATCATTCCACCTGGTTTTTTATCTTTAAAAATGCAGCGGTCCGTGCCTGAGGGAACTGCTGGGAGCCGCTCACCTGGCAGCTGCCATACCTGAGCAGAGAGAGGTTTCTGCTTCTTCCTGCGATTGTCTTGATGCTTTGCTTACTCTGCTTTATGAACGCAAACTCTTGTTTTAGCAAATGTCCACCTTTAGCCCCCAGTTTGCCGTTACTGGTCAACCAGTTCAGCTGCCTCGGCTGGTGGCTGGATTACCTCTTAACTGAGGCCTGTGGTCGTTCACACACACTCTGCAGGCTCCAAATTATGGCATGGCCATGCAGGTTGGCTGGTGAGAACATGGGCACCACTGGGGGAGGCTGCGGCTGGGCCCACGGTGGCAAAATATTAAGATTTTTGAGGCGCTGCCGGCTTGCAGAGGCGCTGGGGTGAACGCGTGCTCCGAGGCGGCTGTGTTACGCTGTCCTGAACAAGCACTAATTAATTTTGACTTAATTAACGATTCTTCAACGCTGTCGGCGCGAGTTAAAAACCACGGCAAGGGTCACAGGCTTCACCGTGCCCGCCTTGGCCTCCCGTCGCTCTTTCCGCCCTCGGGCAGGTGCCTCAGCGCAGCCCGGCGCCCCGCGGCGGCCACGACCCAGCTCCCGCGCCAGAAGACG